CTTCTATGATGTTTTTATGACATTCTTTACCTCACTAATCAAGGAGGTTTTTATTCCTTACTATACTATGACGTTTTTATGACATTTTATGCCTTACTATACTATGACTTTGCATGCTATATTATAGAATGACATCTATATCTTTTACTGTACTATGACGTTTTAATGTCTCAATGTACCGTGACGTTTTTATGACTTTTTTACTTCATGTTATGACCCCAAATAGGTCCAGGGGAAACGGGAGTAACATAAAACTAGATGAAGAATTTGATGAGTCACAAGGTTCAGGATTTGAAAGGTTTATTTCAAACCTGAGGCACAGTACAATGTCAGAGAGATCCAAGGCCAAAATAACCAACAGAATGATCATACTAACAAAAGAAAAGGTTAAAATACTGACCTCCCTGACAATCTCAAAAAACAGTAGAAAAAGTGAATTAAAACAAAATGGCAACTCTCCCCTACAGGCTTCTTGGCTTCTTCTTCTTAGTCAAAAACTTAAACAAATTTACCAAACAAAAAGTACTGGCAGGCACAGAACGTGTATTCACAAATCACACAGACAGGTAGAAGGCAGGCAACAGGCAGCATGGCAGAGAGAGGATGAAATGCAGCTCCTCAGTCCCTTATATAGCCCATGTGATTGATCTGCTGAAGTTCCACCAAAATGCAGGGAAGATCTAGGGGTGAGGCCTGCAGCACCTCCAGAGAAGCATAGATTGCATCCCTACCCACAGCACACAACTACATTCACCTATGGAGGGGGAATGTAACACCTTACAATACTATGACTTTTTATGCCTTACTATATCATGACGTTTTCATGCCTTACAATACTATGACTTATGGCATATATGACAGATTTGTCCCTGTATCAAGAGTGATTTTACATTTTCATATGTGTCATGTATAAGAGGATATATTTTCATGACACATCCTCTGGATATATGAATATATACATTAATAACTCATAGTAAAATGCAACTTTATTAAAACAAAATGATTATTTAAATCCTATATCTTTGTATATGATTTTCTTAAAATCGTCCTATTAAATTTAACCATACACATCTATCTTTTATATTTACATATATAATGAATATATATTTACAGGCTTGGATAGATATATATTTATGTAACATACAGTATGTCTATAATATAAACTTATAATATATTATCTAGATAGACATATGTCAATATATTGATATTGTTCTAATTTCCAACAGGTTTCGCATGTAATTTTTACATATTTAGGCCATAATGTATATACATATATGATTTTACTTCATATGTACATAAATTTCATATATGGAGATTCAACACATGTACATATATTATATTTGCTTATGGGCATTTCTGAATGTCAAAAGAAAAAAAAGTTTTTTCATGGAAATTTCGAGATACAAAAGCAGAATGGACATACTGTATATTGAGGCAGAATACCAGAGATCCAAGTAAAAAAGAGCCTAACTTCCACAGCTTCAGAGAATGGGTTTAAATCTTAAAGGTAAGTGTATGAAAACTAATTTTTCAATTGGTGATCCATGGAGGAACTGTGTGGCAGAATCTCTTTTCACCCATAGGTGGTGTAATGCCACAGATTTTCTTTTTCATTTTGTAGCCCGTCCCCCGTAGGAAATGCTGTAACACTAGTGGAAAAGTATTGTTGGAGCCTGGAAGTGGAAGATATGAGAGCCTAAAGATAAGGCTCTAATGTGAAATACAGTATACAAAGAAAAAGAAGGGAATAAAAACAATTTTACTTGATGAGATAAAGTAGTGTGTAGTGAATGGTTAAAACACAGCAGAGCAAAGACAACACATGCGTACCATAAGTCATATATTCATTTATTTTGCGTTCTCAACATTGTCACAGTTGAAGTTTTACAATAACTGGGGTCTTTACTGACTCACTACTCACTGTACAAACAGAATGCACATATAAATGAGGCCGTTCTTGTCTTTTCCTTTTTTTTTTTTTTTTTTTTAAAAATGTGTCTCACGCCACACTGAACAGCTTGCAGCAGGATGTGTGTACGTGTGTCCGCGTGTACAGTATGTATGTGTTTGTGTGTCTGTGTGTGTGTGTGTGTGCGGGGGGGTTGCATGTATGAAAAGAGAGCTGGATGTAAATGGCAACAAACTTTCTAACAGTCATTTTTTTTTTATTTCTACAGCAAATGTCAGTTCCCAACAGCTGGAGGCTGAGACAATCGATATGTTCATATATCACTCCTCACATCCATCTATGAGGTGATGTATATACATCCTGATCTTGACTGCAGATATCAGAATAGAGTACTGATCATATACACATTATGTACAGCTCCTTTAGCCCCTTGTCTTGGTCCCTTTACAGCTTCATAAAGATAAACCCTCCTACCACACAGTTTCAGTTTACACATCAAAATCCCATATTTACACAATGAGAGCCCTCAGCAACAGAAGTGCAATGTTCTTTATGTTTATAATTTACACAATGGCTTTGTTGATGAAATGCATGCTGAGCTTTAATAACTACCAGCCTAACATGAAACAACAAGAACACGTCAACATCAGGAAAAGTCCAAATGAGTCAAAACCAAAGCAGAAGTCAAAATTTATAGGCTGATTTTTTTTTTTCTATCCCATCAGCTCACAGTGAATAGGACACATGATGCATCAGATCCATGCAGTGCATTGTTGGGGTACTCACAAAGAATGACTGTAGACACTGGAAGCACTACAACACACACTAAAATAAAAGAAAAAGATTCCTCGGTTTTACATCATCCCAAGATTTCAGAACTGTAGTAAAAATATTGGAAACAATGGAAACACACATTCAGCTGATCATTAATGTCCCACATGTGATATGTCTGCCATCTGAACCTTCTTTGTTAATGTGTGAGAGTAAGCCTGACTTATGGCGATGGTTTTCTTTGTGAATGTTAAAATACATTTACAACCTGAATATTGGGACAAACAGATTACCGTCACTAATTTACACACTAAATAGACTCTTATTTGTAGAATGTAGAAAGTTATTCTTTACATATACCCAGTTCCTTTGTTCAGTTTGCATTTTGTATATTATAACTGCATTTCCTGAAAAAAATGAAAGTGTTCTTTCATATGTGCTTATCCAGCAAAATATTTCTGTTCAGCCCAAAGAGAAGCATATTCCTTTTTATTAAAATATATACACACATTCCTCTTTCTACTGTGAACTGTATAAGTAAGTATTTATATATTCTTAAATGAAAAAAGATATTTTTTTTTCACCTGAATCTCATCCTGGACAACAAGATAACAGACTTATCTCCACTCTCAAGTACAAGTCTGTGTTTTCTGAACATGATTGCACTTAAACTTGCTATGGTAACACTGATTTTGTTATATAATGTGCAGAGGATAGCCTCACATCAATAACATTACATGCAAAAAAAAAAACAAAAAAACAAAAAAAAACAAAACAAAAAAAAATATCACTCACTAGACATTCTACTGAACTCCAAGTCTGTACCGCTCGTAAGACCACGAGGACAGCCACACATTAATTTACTGAAAGACTCTGACGGGGGGTCAAAAACAAAAAAAAAGAAAATAAATAAATAATGACGCAACATGAAAAACGCACAAATTGGAGGGACACCTTGCTTGTTCTTAATGTACAAAATCAGTACAAAGATATTGCACACATGATAGAAAAACGATGAAAAAAATACTTCACTATGTAAGAACCGATTTTATTCACTCACCAAACCTCGTCGGTGAATAAAAAAAATATACTAAACAAGGCAAAAGAAGATTTGAAAGGTATTATTGTTTTTGATTTGCGGAGTCAGGAGAGAGCAGCTGTTGTATATGCTAAAGGCAACAGACTTTGACCTGTTCAACACGTTCTGTGGGTCCATCTGTAACATGAACTGAGCCGCAGAGTGTCTTTTCACTCTTGATCTTTGTTACTTTTTTTTTTTTTTTTTTTTTTACAGTTTAAGCAGCCACAGTGCGAGACGTAAACTGAGATTAAAACAACCGATCAGCCCAGTTTATCATTTGTGAGAGTTGACAGGAAGTCGGCTTTGAGGCCTCAGCTGCGACAGCACAGCAATTTCCGAGGCCCATATGCAACAGCTGCCATCCAGAGGCTCCGTCTGATCCATTTGAAAGGCAAGAATTCCAGAATAGATTATAGGCTGGACTGAATGGGAGTTCACTCCTTTCAGATCTACATCCCGTTACCACAGAGTCAGTATAATACTGATAAAATTCATTTTTGCTGATAATAATAATTGTAAGTATAATCTTACAAATTACTTTACGCACAATATATACTGTACATGAAGTTTTGACTAAATAGATTATGCATTAATAATTGGCACATTTATTTATGAGAGCTAGGAGACAACACATATAGCTGTCATCTACAGTAAATACAGCACTAGAACTACTATGACTGAGATGGTTGACTCAGAGTTGTTTACCTGTCCTTTGATTTAAGTTAGTGTGAAATGATTATACCTAGGTTCTTCACTACATATGAGCTCTACGGGAGGCAACAACAAATAGCATTCGTATGATGGGAGGATCTGCAAACCAAAGAGTTGAGAGTTGACTTCCGAAAAAGGCTGTGCACAAGAAATTATGCCGTCACTGTGACAGAGAAAACAAGTCAGCCATGTTCTCGTCTCAGGTCGTCTTCCCTCCTGATTACATGAAGGTAAGACAGGCTATTGAGGGGGTGAAGCAGTGGGGAGCGACTTGGTGAGAAAAACACATTTTCTCTTCAGCCGACACGGCCGGGTGGTGTGTGTGTGTGTTTATTTGTGTGTGTGTGTGTGTGTGTGTGTATGTGTGTGTGTGTGTGTCTGTGTGGTGTGGTGTGTGTTGTGTGTGTCCTGTGTGTTGTGTGGGTGGTGTGTGTGTGTGTGTGTGTGTGTGTGTGTGTGTGTGTGTGTGTGTGTGGAAAACAAAGAGCATCTTCCTGTACAGAACCCCCCCCTCTCCCGCACCCCCAACCCAAAACCCTGACAGGGCCAAGCCCATGATCAGGCAAACTAGTAAAAGGCCCCTAGTGGAAGATTTGAGTCCGATTTCCATCCTGCATATTTGTTGGACCTGGAGGTGAAAAAGGTGACTGCGTGTGATTGGTTTCCATCACAGCAGCAGTAAAACACAGTGGACAGGCCATAGAGTTATGCTGTCAGTCCCTTTGGTGTAAGCAATTGTCCCTCCTTCATTCAGTCCCCTCCACGCTTCCTTCTCTCTGTGTTAGGAGCATCACACTACGGTGCTGATGCCACTGTGTTTGGGTTTGGGTCCGCCAGGTGCCGAACCCGCTTGCTGACTGTGGTGGTGGGTACCGTGCTGGGAGTGTGATGTGTGATGGGAATGCTGGCTGTAATGGCTGTGCTGTGAATGGGCGTGTTGGTGTGCATGTGAGGTGTAGGCTGGGTGCTGGTGGTACTGCGTGTGGGGAGGGGGGTGGTAGTGGTGGTGGTGGTGGTAAGGCGGCGGGTTCTGTGGGACTTGGCAGTACTGGGGGTGGTGACCTTGGAGTTGGGCTTGCACTGCGTGCGCCGCCTGTGCTGTATGGTGTAGGTTGGTCGGGTGAGGCTTATGGGATATGAGGGTGGGGTGGCCGGCTGGAGGGTAAGGGGGGTGGCTCTGGGATGGCGGTTTGCCTCGCTTGCTGCCAAAGAGCGACCCGAGGATGGAAGTCGATGCTGAGTTAGGGATGGAGGGATGGCTGCGGGGTGCGCCCTCACGCGGCGTGGTGGCTCTCCGGCGTGTGTGTGGACTGCTAATGATGGACCCCTGCAGGAAGGAAACAAGGCAACAGCATGTCCGTCAGATACTGTGCGAGTGCTACTGCACAACAGCTACTAAACTACAGCTGCAAGGCACCAGCAGGATGAATTCACACTTGTCTTATTTTAGGTAAACAAGTAGCAAAATGTTATAGGGCATGCAAATGAGAAACTAAAAATGTTGTCATGATAGGCAGCAGCAACACTAAGAATATTTCAGCTTGGGCAAACACTTCCCGATGAAAGGAGCCTGTATTCAAAGGAGCTCTGTTGTTTAAGGAGCTAACTGGCCTGAAACAGTAAATCTGTAACAAGAGTTATTACCATTAGAGACATAAATAATGACATCAACAAGAGCAGAAAAGACAACATTTCATCTTCATTGCAGTCAGTCAGTGTGCCAAACCCTCTAAGAGTCACACATGCAACATGTTATAATCAATGGAGGCATAGTTTCCACATGCAGAGGATGTGACAGGCAAACTCATCATCCACACATTAGCATTCAACCAGACGTCAGAGGGCAGAAGGAACTAAGCTCTTGTGTGCAGACCTCACAACAGGCCTGGACACTTTCCCCCCTGCTCTGGTCCAACACTACTCACTAACCAGGAATGAATTCTCCTACAAAAAAAAAATCTTTTCCCTGCTTTGGCACATGCTTCATCTAAGACTGGAGAAAGACCATACGACGACTTTGAAAGCAGAATGAAATTTTCAGGGTCCCAGACTTCAACCCAACACATGAACTCATGGACACATGAAATGAGTGAAAGATGAATGAATGAAATCCACATCTGTAGAAGTCCGTGTGAAACCCATCAGTAGACCTCTGACTATGAAGGCTATGTTCCTCCCTGAACCTTACAGCATTTAAGAGAAGTTGTGGATAAGAGAAAAAAAAAAGAAAGAAAAGAAAGACCCGGACAGGGAGAGGGGCTGCAGGAGAGATGTACTGTTTTCTAGAGTCTCACAGAGCTACCACCCTGCCACAGAGAAGAAGAACCAAATGAAAACCGCTTGGATGTGATTGAATGAAAGACAGAGACAGGCGACAAGGGGAAGGATTAGAGGAGGGATTAGTAGAGTCATGCTTGTTTGAAGATAAAGTGTATATCGGTCATATAACCAATGACCAAAACAGGAGATCTCTGGCTTCCAAAAAAAGGGGCACGATCAGAGGCAGGCAACCCACGCATGCACACTAACTGAGGCAAGCAGGTTATAAGGCATCCCAGGAAGAAAAATAAATGATCCAAACAAATGGACTGAGTCTATGAAGCAAAGGTGTAAGACCAAAAATAAATGGTGTGTTTTCACAGTGCACATCATCACATAGAGAGTAGCTTGGATACCAGCTGCTTCAAACTTACTTCCATATTGCTGTCTAGTGATCCTGCACTGCTGCGACGCCCCCGCTTGCCTGCCCGAGACATGCAATACCACAGATTAGAGATCGACAGCACTCCTGGATCGACTACAGACGTTTAGGCCGCCCACCCGTCCCGTAGGGGGCAGTGCAATGGATTGTGACTGTGAGTAAAGGTCCAAATATGGGCGGGAAGGGGGAGAGGGCGTTCAGGTCTGGGAGTGTGGTGGGTGACAGGTGGTACTGTGGCTAACTGTGCAGTGAAGTCACATCTTCACTCAGGTTGGAAACTAAAGCTGCATTAAAATTTCAGTGGGTTAAGTTTTAAAACGCACTTCGTACTGGAGGCTCTAAAAAATTTTGAATGTATTTTCTCAGAAAATATGTTCTCCTGGAGGATCAGGGTTTTTTTTTTTAAGACCAGGAAAATGTTTTACCAAAAGATTGCGGGATACTTCTAAAAACTTTGCTCAGGGTTGATGCCTACACAAATTTTTTTCCCAGATTTTTTGTCTTGATAAAATTATGACAACTCGTTCTTAATGTTGCCACCAGATGTAGATTTTCTGAAGGGGTCTAAGGTAGCCAGTCTCAGTGACAGTCACAAAGGAGGAGACACATCAAAAGCAATACAGTGGTTGTTGCACATGGGATGTACAGGCATATACAGGTCTGAGGGCGAACAGAGCACTTTTGCCATTGTTAGGCACACTCAGCCAATGATACATGACCAATAATCACACATAAACAGGAAAATACCTGATGTGTATGGAGAAAAAAAACACAGTAAATACACATGAAATGGAGTATGGCAGGAAAAAAACAAAACAAAATGAAAACACTTAACAAAAATGACCCCACTAACATGCCACATCCTGCGTCGGAAAAAAAACCACAGGAGACAGGAGGGCGGAGGAAACTTCTACAGACTGCTTCACTGTCTGACCTATCATTTCCCATTGAAGAAGTGATCATAAGAACAAAGCAAGTATCAGTGAGGCAGACCCCTGACTGGATTTCATTTTGTTATCAAGTTAATCACCCGATAACTTCACATAGCTGTTATCTGTAATGAATGAAAATGTATTCTTGCTTCAGAGACACAGCGGCTGTGTTAAACACTGATATTCATGGATGTGAAATGACTGTTAACACCAAGACTGAAACTAAATCTCGATCTTGTTGCTGCTTAAGAATGGTAAACATCAGCGCTGATTTGTTTGGTTCACAAATATACGTGAGAGGAAATGCCACATGGTTTTTGAGTAAAACATAAGATTATCATGAAATGTCTTTGGATAAAAACAAACTTAAGAATGCAGAAGTGCTGAGTAAAAAAAAAAAAAAAAAAAAAGTGACGATAAAAACATGAATGGGAATGTAATGTAAACTCATCCAAATGATCAGGGGTGACAACTGCCCGTCAATTTCATTCATCACTGAGAAGACAGATCTAGAAAAAATCGATCTCAACTTTCTCAACAAATAGCCTCTTCTCAAATAGGTCTGTATTCAGTCTTTGGATTGTAAAACGGTGCAGCAACACCTTAAGTCTCTCGAAAACAAAGTACACTGTCTAGACCAAGCTATCCAGTCATGAGTGAGTTAGATAGTGGATTTAAAGGGGAGAACTCTGAAATCAATGTATGGTGCCGTGAAACAACATTTTGCTATTTTTTTTATCCCCTTGGTGTCATCACAGAGAGGCGGATGACAGAAGGAGAACACTTCTCCATGAAAGAACCGGCTGGTTAAAGAAAACAGAGACATTTTGGCTGTACCTGCTTCGGAGAGGTCTCGCAGGGAGCTGCTGAGGGCGCTCCTCTTCAGGCCCTCTCCCATGGCATAGGTGTCATCCAGACTGGCGCGGTTCATGCTCCCGTTGCCAGCTTCCTTCTTCAGACCGGAGCTCTGCGACATGCTGGGCCTCACCACCCCCTTCTGCTTCTCCAGCTCAGCTGTGGAAAGGAGCCAAGGAAAGACTGTGATAAGTGGCAGTGGTTTTGCAGCTCACTCTGACCAGAGAACTGACTTTAAAGCTTCTCTGTGATGTATTCAGCCACCTTTGGTTTGTCTGAAACTCATGAACGTCCACTATTGATCTACATAATTTCCAACATCCTGCTTTTGCAGGTCACAGCGGAATTGCCTTTTGAATGTCCAAAAAAAAAAAAAAAAGGGTCTCTCTTCTGCTCGCCATCCTGTGAACTCTGTAAACATTCTGCCTCGTAAACTGCCACAGTTGAGTAATGAGGACCATACCCTGTTTCTACTTTATACAGCCTGAGGTAGACAGGGTAAGAGGGGGATGGGAGTAAAAGAAAAGGGCAGCTCACACTCTATTCTGTATTTCTCCATTTCCTGGACCTCGGCAATGGACTCTCGTAGGTCATCTGTGAACTTCTTGCGGTCCTGGGGGTTGGGCGCGTTAAAGTTGATGAGGACTTTGATGTCCGCACCTGGTATCGCTGATGTAAGTCTGATTCCATTTGGGTAATCTGGGCGATGGCAAACAGAGAGGGAGAGAACTTTAAACAAGGGCCATTGATCAAAACCAAGTTAAAACACATCGGATGAATACGTCTGAAGTTCGTAGAGTATAAACAATGTCACAGCCCATCGGTTTGACTTCCCCATTTGGGCTAGATGTGTTACTGTGCTAAATCAAACCCTGTGATGTAAACACTGTCAGCTAACATGCTACAGAAAATGAAAAAAAAAAAAAAAAAATACGCCCTGCATCACTTACACTGATTTTCAAACAGCATGACTTGCATCCCGTACAGAGAGAAGGACTGTCTGAAGCTGTACGTCACTGAGTTCTTCTTTTTCTGGAAAATCTTGGTTACCTGAAATAATGCAGAGAGAGGTTGGTCTAAAGGGAGAGGAGAGAAGAAGAGAGGAGAGGAGAGGAGAGGAGAGGAGAGGAGAGGAGAGGAGAGGAGAGGCGAGGCGAGGAGAGGAGAGGAGGAAAAGGACTTTTACCACTAGGAGGTCATTGAACAGGAAGATCTCCCGCTGATGCAGGCCCAGCTTCTGAAGCTTGTTGGGGTCTGGCACTTCAAACAGGCGGCAATAACACACCAGCCGGCGATGGGGCAGTGACAGCACCTACAAAGAATAACAAAAAAAAGAGCACAGATAGCAACACTTCAGAGGTCATTATCGCCTCAGTCCACAAGATAAAAAGGAACAAAAGTCACCTTTTCCCCCTGAGCAGAATTTGAGGAAGGTGCAGCCAAAGGATGATTAAGTTACTCCACCTATGTGTTTTGCATTCATCGCAGATCCAGAGTGATGTATGGGGAGATGTGCTGACATTTGGATACTCCTATTGAATTAGTGTGTACCGTGAAATAATGAGCCAACAAGGAACTGATCCTGCTCACAAGTATTGTCTGTGTTGCCAAAGTGAGAAATGGCTCAGTCCTCTGTGCCTCCAAAAATGGTTAAAAACGCATCAGTGAGTCACATCATTGCACTGGGCGACATTTCCTTCTAAACATGGCGTTTAGATGATTTTGAGTTGATCTCACACACTTGGTCCCGCTGCTGTAAACAGTACTAAACAAATGCACAAATACACTTTACTTCAGACAGAGTAACGCTAGCTAAAAACTACAGTGGACAGCTGTTTTAACAAATTGAAGAAACTGAATATAAAGTGTATACTCAGGCCCAGTTTTTAAAAGATTCACGTCTCCAGTGGGGCTGGGAAGGCTGGAAGTTGAGATCCAATGACAAGTTAGGAAAGTATTATTGATAGACTGACTAACGCATTGTTGTTTTGTCTTTGGATTTGTTGACAATAACAAAAATATAAAATATCGCCATCTTTATCCTTTAAAGATGTAATTCATTCTCTTTCGCTGTTCATAAGCAGACCACATGAATCCTGAGAGTAAGAGCATTTCTATTCAAAAATCAGCACAACAATAATTAGATCAAGACTCAAGGGAAAACTGACTTGTAATAGAACAAGGAGTGACGCTATATGTGGGATGATGTGTTACCGCAAATGATTTAATGCATGAGCAACAATACATGATCTCATATAAAAAAATCAGATGGCAATGAAGACTGAAACGTGAAGCAGGAAGATGTATAATCAGGAAACCTTGCCATGTGAATACCATGACGACTCGCTGCAGAAAAATAGGCCGTCTTTATTATTTTTCTGTATATTTTATAATGTAACGCAGAGTAGGAAGAGTATTAGCACAAATAATGAGAAACCAAATAAACAAAATCCATGTTGTTTGTCGTCATTTTTAACACATATTAAGTTTGTTTCACCAGCATGAAGCATAAGTATTGTTGCCATAGTTACTTTCATTGTTATATAGATTACCCTATGCACTGATGTAAACTGTTACACTATTAATGAGAACTCTGAGGTGCCCTGACACACAAGAAAACAAGTCAAAAAGAAGTACTGATGGCGAGTACTATATAATAAACATTAATGTGATGCAAAGGAAGCAAATGCTAACAGAGCTAACTCAAACTTAAAAGATTTAAAAATTACTAATCATCTCCACACAAATAGGCCAAATGCAGTATATTGCGTAAGAGAGAGGCATCAGTGTGGCGTGCACCCTGCTGAGCACAGACTCTCTAAATGCTGCCTAAGAGTTCATGTCTGCCGATTCTGTCAACAGGGTCCAGCAATGACTGCTCATCTCTCCATAACAGATGTGAAGCTTCGGAGGGGGCCAAACATTCTTGCCTTTGTAGGTAATCTGACTCTAAAACTACCAGCATGATGTGCGTTAACTGCAATGTCCATGGACAGAGGCAGAAAGCTGTGCACATAGAGTAAAATGACAAAGGAAAAATGATCAAATATAGAATGACTGATGTTCATTTAGTCTACTTACACATCCCAGGCCGTGATGGAGTGATCCGATCTAAAAACAGAAGACAAAGATAATGTTATATGCAGCTGTTATGTTTAGATTATTTATACTATTGCCTCCGATAGCATGACAAAATGTAATCTCTCTTATTAATGAGTCCATGTAAGGATTTCTCCCTACAGGCTGTACACCTATAGCCTACCGAAGTAGCCATTAAGAGGCATGCGCCCTCATCACTTCTGTTTACAAGTTGGCGGTCTTTCTTTGCTGCTGGACTCGAGGGAGTCTATAATGATGCTGGAATGAGAACTGTGGAGGGATCCTTTTCTAGCAGCTCACTGCGTGCAGCACCATTGGACCAGATTATTATGGGGAGGTATTCCAATGTGTTTTGTTTTTTTTTTATGTTAAAGAGCTTTAACCACTTGGGCTTTGAATTCTGCTGCTAAATGGTGACGAGGGATAATTGTTCAATACATTCAATTATTACTGGCAGAGCAGAAGAGATTCCAGTCTACTGGAAACAGACTGAAACAAGACAAGCCTCTCCCTGAGGCCGCATAGGTTAATCACACTTTTAACCTTCACACACGAGAGAAACATCATTACCTGCAGAATACTGCATGAAATGCTGTTTCCCCGCTCCTGAGGGGCAGGAGCACAGTCAGAACTAAATGTGATAATAGCTCGGGTTCAGTTTTAATATAAACTGACTTAATAATTACAGAATCGATGGGTTATTGCAATGTTACATATGCTGGTCGGTTAAACAGTGGTTGGCATTGCAGTGTTCAAACACCGCCACTACTTCTCCCTCTAAAATATGCTGGGGACTATAATGTAGAAAGGTGGCAGCATGTGCCCATTTTTCATGGGACTGCAGCACAGGGCGACATTGCTCAAGGGCTTTGGGTGTGTTAAAACCACCAGCGTGAAGGTCTAAGCCCAGGCGTGAATCCCTATTCGCACAGCAATACCCAAAGGTACAAAAAGACCTAAATCTCCCTCTGACTGAATCTATCTATATTTGGAGTTAGAGAATAAGGAGAGTAGCAGCATTGTTGTGTATAAAAAGTGATTCTGGGAAGATATATATAGCTGTGTAAGTACTGACTAAAGAATATTCAACACTGTATGCATTTCCTGAGCCAAAGATATCTCATGCCTGAAGTCATGCCCTGTGATGAAAATCATAAAATAAGAGATCCAAAGGGTGTTTTTAGTGAATTTTGTAGAACACATAAAAAAACATTACTCACTGGTTTCTTTCCCACGATGAGCTTCTCAACCTTCTGCACCTGCGAGACGTGGTCTTCATTGGTCTTGAGCTCTCGCTTACGGATCCTCTCATAGATACCGACCAGAGTCTCCCTGGGGATGTCCTCTCCGTCGTCCACACCTGGGACAGAGGGAGCGAGGAGATGAGTTACCATGTAAAAGTCAGAGGTTGCATTAAAATGGAGCTGCTGTGTCAGTAGATCAGAATTGGGAAAATGGAAAATGGTTTAATTTGAAATACAGGAAAGGGAGAGGAGGAATTAATGAAGCTAATCTGCAGGTGGCACTCAAATTTTCCAGTACATGACTAATATGTCCTGGGGTGAAATTTAGAGGTGTATGCAAATATTATGTTAAATATATCCTGCGAATGAGTTTCACATGTGGCACATTTTAAAATATGAGTAAATATAATATCTTCACATTAGTCTGTTTTTATTACCTCTCAAATTCTTGATGAAGTCCTCCAGCTTCATCTTCCTCTCGGGCTTGACGTTGGGGCTGTACATGTCAGTGTTGAGGAGGATGATGGCAAAGGCAAGGATGAAGATGGTGTCAGGGTTCCTAAACTGTCGCACCACTGTGGGATTACAGATGCAGTAGCGCTGGCTGGAGACACGGGAGGGGAGAGCAACATGAGCAAACCTTCCACTTGCGACCAAACTTCGATTACAAAACACACACGGATGAATTGAGCTCACAGAGAGGAAATGTTTTGCACATTGCTTGAGAAAAGCAGAAGTAATGCTAGAACTGGTTCTCTTTATGTACAAGCAATTAGCTAGACTACACAGCTGTCAGGAAAACCAGCAGTAAATACAGTATGAAAATACAGTATGTCGTCAGGAACTGTGTGGTTTAATAAAAGGCTCTGGGTTAGCAAGCTTCCTCCACCAACAGGCAGCAGACATATTGTATTTAAGGGATGCGTAAGTATGACCACAGAATCACTATTTTCTCTCCCGTCTTTCCTAAAACTCTGATCTCTGATAATCGACACTTCATGACAGTTTTTCTATCCTCAGTGTGTTGAAAAGTCAGCTGTGAGTGAGTCATCGCACCTGAAAGCTTCAATGAGCCGCTCCACCTTCTGGGCCTCGCCCTGGACACGGATGTGGTTCTGAAATTTCCTCAGGGCCTCGTCCAGCTCCATGCCCTGGAAGTCCATTTCATCCACCACACAGCTGGTACAGAAGCAGACAGATGTCGAAAGGAAAATGAAACACACAAATACATACATCTTTTTTCCGCTCATCACCAATTCTGTCATATCTTACAGGGCTTAGCTGGCATAGATTCTACCATGGAGGACACTCAGTGTTTATAAAAGTATATACTGTCTTTCTTTGTTTTGGAATGTGCATGTGGGCAAGGTTCCTGTATATTTACACTAATTTTCATCTAATAATTTTGGTCTTTCCTCTGATCACTTTTATCGAACTCTACTGAAGTTTAGGGACGACGTGTGGGGAAAATAAAAAATACTTACTCTAAAACATCTCTGTTGAACTGTTTCTGTCGATTGCCCAGGAATTCTCCAATCATCTGCCTGCTCAGCCCCTTCCTCTGCAGCAGGAAGTGAGCAACACCGACCGGTGTGTCAGGGATGAATCCCCTCTCAGTCAGGTACTGGATGCCCTTCTCTGGCTTCCTGAAAAATCCATCATGTCCAACATGTCTTTAATTTTCTGGTATTTAGATAGTGGTCAAGATTTTCAATAATGATCTCTTAACTGTTCATTAAGTTCTCATATTAATTGGCACAAACGGATATACAAAATAAAGTGATTTACAATTGTTGGTGAAAGATGTAAGTTGAGCTGCACTGCACCAAAGTTAGCGAAATATGACCACAGCCATAAAACAATCTGTCCAATTCTCTCATCGCTGACGTCATTCACATGTTGTCGTGTCAGTTTGAATTAAAGTTTGTTTTCATTGTTTAAGAAAAGAGGTTTCTCTGGCAAGAATAAAACAAAGCTTGTGCAATTTCGGTTTTATAAGAGAGAAAAAAAATGTTACACTACAGTCTCACTAATCAATGTTATGCTCCTAGTTTCTTCTTCCATGCAAATATCTTTCAAAATATCTTTGGATTTGATATGAATGCAGCTGATTACAGTTTATAGGTCAACACCTAGTGAGAGAATGATTTGTCCAAGAGGCTCCTCTAACATCTTGTCCACTGACTGAGACATTAATCACTCCAAACACACTGAGTACCTACTTGTTGAAGAGATTCAGGCCGATGCGGTAGTGTCTCTTGCGTATAACGTCATTACTGAAGATGGGCGAGTCCCAGCTGTTGCGAGTCTCTTTGTGGTAGGTCTGCTTGCTGAGCGTCTGCTCTCGTAGGCTGTCCCTCGATGAGGACTCGGAGCTGCAGTTGATGGTGTCGTTAGAGTTGGATGTGCTGTTGATGCTGTCGTTGTCCCCGTCAGAGAAGTCGGATTCTGACTTGCTCTGTCTGTTTGCTGAGCCGTTAATGGCGAGATGGCTTTCCAGCTGGCGGTGGCGGTGGCGCAGGGGTGCGTCATCGTCACGGGAGGGAGCTCGTGGCGGGGGTCCGTGGGAAATGTGTTTAGGGCTCGCCTGGGATGACGTTACGATGTGGCCGTGGGGTTCGTACACGGGCGGCCGTTTGACAGAGCCTCGGTCGGACCGGTCACTGAGCTCTACAGAGCTGTCACTGGGAGGTTCAATGGTCAACAAAGGAAGATGGTCCATTCTAAGACGCTGCTCTTGGCACTCCAGAGAAGGAGTGCTGCGGCAGCTTGTGTCTGTGTCACGACCCTCATCTTTAGGGTCAATAGGCCAGTACTCCTGGGAGGAGTTGACTGACCGCAACCGCAAGTCTGATTCTGTGCTGGAAGGTTGGTCCCCTGACCTCGACAGAGCGATAGAGGGGGACATGTCCTCCTCGTCGATGAACAGAGTAACATCACTATATGATGCCATCGTTTCATCGTGCATGCGTCCAGCTGCCCTGCGGTGGGACTTCACCTGATAGGGCACTTCCCTCTCCACCTCAGAGCAGCCCATGGCCTCCGGGTCAGGGCCCTCGTCCCCCTGAAGGCTGCGACAGTTCAGTGCATCATCTATCGACTCAGCCAGAGATTTGACCTGCCGGGAAAAGGCGTCCTCCAGCTCCGTGATGGCATCCGTCAGGTCACTCTGTGGAGGTGGGTGAGATGCCATGTTGGCCTGTTGGTGAACCTCTATATCTCCACATTCAGACTGCACCATGGACAGCGGGGTGCCATCCTCCGTCATGGACACCTGCCTGCCTTCGAAATAGGAGCTGTGCACTTTCTCGGGGCCCTCAAACGAGAGCTGCATCCGCATGTTGGAGAGAACAATGCGTCTGGACATACGGTTCTCAGACATAGAGCTCCTGAGACGTTCAAAGTTCTTGTTCATCTGATACTGGCGGAAGGCTGTCTGGATGGTGCGGGCTGCATGCCGAGTTATGAATCGTCCACCATATTTACGCTCCAGCATCTCCACCTGGAGAGAGGACGGAGTGATTCAACTGTGAAACTGTGACACCCATGGAAAATTTAATTGTTTTTCTTAACTGTAGATGGTCTATAAAGTCATCGTCCTGGATGTCACTGATAATTTGTTTCACCCAGTTGTCAGTGGGTCTGTGACAATCCAACAATAAAACCTCTCTATTTAATAATCTCACACAGCTGGGTTGGTGATAAGCAACCCACACACTATTTATTGTATTTCAAGTAAAAATTGAATATAAAACTTTTAATCTAGTGTCATGAGAACATGAGAGACTTTGACCAACTCCAAAACAAACTATTCAGCATGGCTGCTTTGGAATACCTGTTTGTCCTGGAGGTCAGCAGAGAGCTCATAGCTCTCAGAGAGCGAGCGCGACCGCTTGATGGCCTCCTCCTCAGCCTGTTTACGGAGGATGGACTGTGAGTGCTGAAGCTTGGGCCGACGGGGCCTCTGAGGCCCGGGCTGGACCCCGTGGCTGTAAAGCGGGCTGTCAAATCGGTCGGGGCTGATGGCCGAGCCGTGAGTCACCGGGCCCTGGCCATAGCTGGCTCCACCATCCAGGGAAGGGCCGCTCTCATTGGACCGTCCATCCCCTTCCACACTGCAGTGAGAGAGCAGAGTGATGGTTAGAGATTTCATCATCATAATAAGAGCGTTAAACAATGAGAATTCAAGTATCATCAGATTAATTGCAACTGTCTTTCTCATCCATCTTATGATGGATGTCAGAGTGAAAAGTAGCTTAACTTCAGGGACTTGTGGCCTAAGCTTTTATAACAGCAAGTCTTAAAATCAGTAGTTGAGTCTCTGTTACAGAATATAAGAGTATGGCATTACACAAGTGAACTGAGTGTGTAAATGAGTGAAGCTGGGATGTGCTGATTCTTAAGCTTCATGATATACAGTACCCACATTTCATTCAACTGTAAGCCGCCTAATGTTGCTCGGTATCTTTGTAATAATGACAGTCTGCCATAGATTTTGCTGCGCTACAGGCAGAAAATTCAAACGCCACGTAAACACTCTCCAAGTATTGAACACATCCTGATGTCTGTCTGTCGTCTTCCAGAGATTCCCTCTTACACAATTAATGTGAAAAAGAAAACAAGAGGTTACTCACTCACTCTTACATTCTGCCGTTTTACTAGAGGGTTTCTTATTGCGAAAAGACCGTCTATTTTCTATAAATTGCCAGCTCTTCCTCCATATCTTGTCCACCATTCTGTCAGCCAAGTTAAGTCCAGAGTACACAGGCTCCTCCAGGAAACTAAAGTTTATGCCACATTATGAGCCAATCAGTGACCGATGGGAGTTGCATCATGTTTGCCGGAGCGACGACACACTGTTCCAATACACAATACAAAGTCCAGTTTGGAGAAGAATGACACAGCAAATACAATTTCAGCAGTCCCTTAGAAATAGCTAAGATGTGGGTGTTTGTGGTGCCCACCTGCTCAGTAACTAACGTTACACTTATATTTCTTCTCCTTCACGGTACAGTGCATTCTCCGTTCTCTGGCAGACTAATGTGTTTGAACTGTGACTCGACACACCCATACAGTGTACACAATCCACTTCCTTCATTAGACAGCCTCCAATCAACATTCAGCTACAACAGCTTGACAGCAAACAGTGCAGAGTGAAAAAAAAAGTGGAACTATGGTCAAAAGTTCAAACAGAATTTTTTGTAAGTTAGTCATGTCATGTTTTGCTCTTAACTGAATATATATATTTACTGATTAGCAACCTCATTCAGCACAGCATGCCAACAAAATGTGCATACTTGTCATTTTGTATATTTGAATCTAATTTGCTACAACTTGTCCCTTTCGGTCTGCTGATTCCTGTGTAAGAGTGTACATGTATTATAAAAATGTAATATAAATTAAATACAAATAAAAAGTTACAGCATGTGACTCATGGACTCAGACACATCAATTTCCTAGACCAACAGAAATACTTGAGAGAATAACCTCTTCTCCAAAAAAGGCTTTTCAACCAAACATTTGAGGGTGAAATATCAAAAAATGTTGTGCCAAAACTCCCACCAATTATTAAGATCGACAGCATCCAGAAAATCTTTAATCTGATTCCAACAGCTAAGATGGTGCTTGGATGCAAATGGAAATATTATTATGTTCTCAGAAAGCGCAGGTTTTTTAATTCTACCAAATGCTGCAGCAGAGTGAGCTCTTGTGCATCACAGGAAGTGGCCTCCTCTGTCAGAGAGGAGGTGACCCATTCAGTGTCAGTCAAGGCCACGGTGACACACATGGTAAGCAAATGCTCACTGACTCCCTCGGGACAACAGCTACACACAATGTTTGAAAGTAGGGACCAGCACTTAACAACAGAGCAGCCAAAAGAGAAGGCCTTCACGCTGCTGGACCAACATAAAACCTTGCACAAGACACTGAAAATCATCCTCCATTGCATAATCGCGACTGGGACGAATCTCCCCTACCATCTGTCACGGCAAACTGTGAAGCTGCCGTCCCTGGAGTTAAAAGTCACACCTTGCATGCTGTCACAGCACCAGGATACAGCCGGTGGTAATCTTTTTTTTGGTTTTGTGATTTCTTCATTAGAATTTTGATTAGTGGCCTGGATAAAGTGATGATGAGAGGGAGTATGTTCATATTAAAATGAAAAAAATCCTATAGCCTAGGACTTGAGAGGAAAAGAAACATTCAAAAATATTGAATTAAATTTCAGTTTAAGAGTCACATTTATGAAACAGAGGAAGTGAAAACAAACTTTGCATATTCAAAAAATGCTAAAAGGAATTTAATCAGAAATAACAATTTGGCATTTGTATAGCTCAGTACAGTATTGTAACTTTTTGTTTGCTCTTTGCTTTTGATGCCAAATAGGTTGTGCTGTGTTCAGTCGGTGTAAACATTTTTAGTCATGCACTGTCTGTCTGCTTAGAGATTTACCTCAAAGCAGAGCTGTCTAAATACAGCCTCAGAGAGCAGCTAGCGTGGCTGCGGATACTCAGTTTCATTATGTTGTTTTGTTTTCTACTGAACTATTTTGTTGGGGGTAATTGCCTCTCCATTGTTTTGCCTAATTGCTTGTAATTATTTATGAACCAAAATAAATTAATGTTTCAATTTATCCCATATGGCAATGTAGCAGTGGGAATGAGAATGAGTCTGTATTAAATAAATGAAAACACAATAAACTACAAGCTGCTTTTAATAACTACTACAGTGCTCCTCTGAGGTTTGCTCTCCTGTATGTCCTGTATGTTGTTATTTTATTTCATTTTTTTATACTGATATTTTTAAGTTAAGGGCAAGTAAGTAAGTAAGTACAGATTTTGCCTTTCCCCACTGAGACCTGGAGCCAGCATCTTTCCATCCATTTTGTTCTTTCTGCTTCACTTTCTACCAACCAAACATCCAGACTCAGATTGTGGGCGTACAGTGGGAATAAGTGCTGCAGTACTTTTTGCTCTGAGGTCACTGAATTACTCCACAGGGTGAGGTCAGTTGCTCATGATGGCGGGAAAAAAAGGGGAAAAAAAGGGAAGAGAGAGGAGCATTTTAAGGCCTGATGTTTTAAGCTGTAATGGATTTTGAAAGGGAAAAGAGAGGGAGTGAACTGCAGCGGAGCAGGACGTTACGTGACATTATTGCGCAGAGGAGGCGTTTCAACACATGGCTCAGACAGAACTCAGAGCCGTTGTTGTTGGAGGTAAAAGGATGAAGCAATGACGGCTGTCTCAAGACTGCTTCCTGGCGGTGACAGTTCAGCCCTTGAAATATGACCTCACTATATTAGCAACTGCAAGCTAACGATGTCTGTCCCTCCGTCTGGTTCTTTATCCACCAGGAGCCCCCGTTAGTTCCGATGTAGGCATGGATAAGCATGTCAGCTCAGCTGGCAGTGATTTTCAGCCATGGGATCCAGGGATTTGGGGGGTTGGGTCGGGGAGTAAAGGGGGTGAGGGGGGCGGGGGATCGACCATCTCTCTTTCCTCCCTTCTTCCCTCTCAACACATCCTGAACAAACAGGCCCAGGCCCCTGTCCAGGCCTCAACCCATTCCATCAGTCGGACCTGGGGGAGAAACATTCCTCCGTCCCGGAAAAGAGGAGTCACATCTACAGGAGTTCTGGGAATAGAACAAGGCTAATGAAGTGCAGGCTGAAGCTACGGAGGAAGAGAAAGCTGCAGTGTGGAACTAACATAACTCCCAAACGACGGCACAGAATCGACAAATTTTAAGATGTTTTTTTTTTTTTGGTTTGTTTATATAAGTTTAAGAGAGCATAATTGAATTCCCCATTCACCTGTGAACTCTAAAAGCCATTAAAATGAGAAATATGCTGGATATACATAGACATATCCTCCAACAAGCAATGCACTTACATGCATGTAACAGTAACCTGGTTACTCCTCAATTCTGGCAGTAATCTGATTTGATAAACATTTAAGTAAACGTAAAATGAAATTGCCTTTTTCTGGTCAAAGGATGGAGAACAATCAAATTACTGTGGCTCGATTTATTTTGAACCCAATTACTTAACCAATTCATGGAAGTGTGAGCATGTAGACAGAAAAAGTATGTTTGAAAGAAATGATGCTCAAGCAACATATTACAGTCTCTTGCATTGTCAGTACTGAATTGGAGGACCCGACATGGTTGCTAAGTAAGTCAGATCTGTTCAAAGAAGTTGAGGAGGCGGGGTATGAAGAGGCATCTATTTCCTTGCTAAACTTTAGGGGGGGGGTTTAAAATAAAATGAGCAATAACATTTATGAAACACATGTAAATACACTATTCGTTTTCCTCCCTTAACGTGACTACTCACAATTATCTTTTTTTTGTATGTGTGTTTGCAAACATACTCAGTGACCTGACCTTTCCGATCAAATCAAACATGACTTCCATAATCAAAATTCTCGACCCAAATCCATCGACAACATGTGCTCCAAACACAACAAAAGCAGATGTTTGCTCTCTCTCAGAGAGAGCTCATAAATACAGATGTGAGGTTAGGAGACCACACAGTAACATGTTAATGAAGTCCAGCATTAAAAGGTAAACCTGCCAGTAAACACTCAGATGTATCGGCCATTTCAGCACCAATAACCAAACTAATGGATGATTTTGTAACAGCAATAAAAAGACAGCGAGGAGCAGGTCGGGGATTTACTGTCTGACACAGCTGCAAACTGGAAAGCTCTGCTGGCCGGCAGACTGACAGAATCACTCTTGAGAGTTTGTAGCAGACAGCAGACAGTCGACGGGAGCCTCGTAAGACTCACGGGTGAGTCATGGTAACTACTGTAAGTTATATAGTTAGGTTTTGAGAGCTGTAGGACTCTGGTGTCCCTGTAAATCAGAAGCTGTCACCTTGCATCTAATGCAAACTAGCCAGAGACACATCAGTTATCAAAGCAAAGCCACCCAGCTGAAACTCACAGTACTTAAATGTATCTGTATGTACAGCAGTCTGCTGAATGGCTTCGACTTGCATATAAAAGCTCTAACCTTTGCCCCTATTATTACATCTTAAATTGCAAAGTAATGTGCAATCATAATGGTATTTGATTTAGTTTACCTTTAGTCACCTCCGACTATCACAACCTATTCAGGGTCATTGGCAGTCTTAACATTTTGATGGATAAATGAAAGTCACCACATTTTTACTACATGAAGTCTGCTGATTATTGATTGCTATGCTTATTAACAGTGATCATAAGCTGATTCATAATCAAGTTGCACAGCTTTGCACAGTTTTCCAAGATGACTTAAGCTTTGTTAGCGTAGCACAGATGCTATGAAAGTGTGATGAGCAGTTGACTGATGTTTTGTTAATGCCATCCACATACTTGTTACTTAAAGTAATCAGAAATCAATATTACTCCCTTGTTAACTGCCAGGCCTCATTCTGTCTGAGTCAAGGCATCCCCCCTTCCTCCTCCCCCTCCTCCCTCCTGTCAAGACTCAACACAACAACAACAACAACAACTACAACAACAACAACTACAACAGAGCTGCTGTCATTATCTCTCAGTAATGAATAATTGAACTCTCCTCCGCACTCAGCACCTGCCCTTGAAGATCGGACTATGAAAAACCACACAGTCACAGCCAGTAAGCGGGAGGGCCACGACACACCGCAGGAATGCCCTTCAACTGAGCAGGAGGGGGGTGGGAGGTGTTGTGTGTGT